AAGAGAGTAATCCAAGTTTAATGATGGGAGCAATACAAAGTCAAAGTTCAAAAGGTTGTACTTGTATCGGGGTCCATTAAAGAAAGCTTTAATGAATGCTTGCAAGCCAGTGATAGGAGTTGATGGATGCCATTGAAGGGGTCACATGGTGGTATTCTCTTGATTGTTGTTGGGATAGATGCAAACAATTGCATATTTCCATTTACCTATGCAATTGTTGAAAAAGAGAAAAAGAAAATATGGTTGTGGTTTCTAGAGCTGCTAGGACATATCTGAATATTGTAAACTCTCATCGTTATATCTTCATGAGTGATAAACAAAAGGGTTTGATTGATGCAGTGGTTGAGTTGTTCTTAAATGCTTCACACAGGTTTTGTGTAAGGCATTTGTACAACAATTTTAAGGTTGAACATAAGGGGTTGATGCTAAAAGATCAGTTATGGAAGGCTGCTAGGGCAACAACTGTTCTTGCATTTACCAGAGTGATGGAAAATATTAAAGAAGTTGATTGTAAGGCATATGCTTGGTTAGTAGAAAGACCACCAATTCATTGGAGTAGAGGCCACTTCAACACTTTTCCAAAGTGTGACATTTTATTAAACAATCTATATGAGTGCTTCAATTCAAGCATCTTGGAAACTAGGAGTAAATCTGTGGTTACAATGTTAGAGAAGATTAGGTTGTTGTTGATGGAAACAGTTCAAAAAAGAAGAGATGCAATGCAAAGGCACAATGGTCTTATATGTCCTAAGATTCAGAATCAATTGGAGAAAATGAAAGTGGATGCAGATAGATGGATTCCTAGATAGAATGGCAATGAGCAATTTGAGGTTGTAGGGCCATATGGTGAGCAATACAAGGTGGATTTGCAAGCTTGGAGTTGTGGATGCAGGAAGTGGGATCTGTTAGGTATTCCATGTGCCCATCTTGTGGCTACTGCAAATTACTTGGGTCAAGAACCTAAAAAATATGTTCATCAATACTACAAGGTGGAGACTTATCTGAAGATCTATGACAACATGTTTAGTCCTATTAATGGTAGAGAAATGCGGCCAAAAACTGAGTATACAAAGGTGTTTCCACCTGATGTGAAGAAGAGAGTTAGGAAGCCTAAACAAAATAAAAGAAAAGAGATTAAGACACCAACTGAAGGCACAAAGCTAAGAAGGCATAGCACTAAAATGAATTGTAATAATTGTGGGAAGGTAGGACACAACAGGAGAAGTTGCAAAGTGAAAGGCAGATTCAGCTACATGTAAGAAAGCCAACCTGAAGGGAGCCAACCTCAGGGGAGCCAAACTGAATAAAGCCAACCTCAAAGTCAATTAATTAGAGAAGGACCTGAGGTCAGGCCACACAGAAGACAAAAGAAACTGGCTGTAAGTGTTCTTCCTTTTTTTTAAAAAAAAAAATAGTAACTTAATTGTCCTATATTTGATTGTGTTTAATTGTGGATAATTCAACCTTATTGCAAGTTAAAAGGAGAGTGGTACAAGAAAATCAGCCAACTCCATCTCCAATTAGTTCAACCAGCACACCAAAGGATGGTCAAATGACATGAAGAGGCAAGCTAGTGTACAATGCTAGTGGCTTTAAAACAGCATCCACTGGAGGAAAAAAAAATGGAGAACTTGAAGACTGAATCCGCTGCACGGAAGTAGGAAACATCCATTGCACAAAAGCTTGAAGTTTTATTTTTGGATAAAAGAAGGAAGCAACCACATCATTTTATCGTTGGGGCTTTTTGTACATTTAATGTTTTTTGTTTGAAATGGTTGCCCTAAACTTCTTAACTATGTAAAGGTAATATTTTGGTTATCACAAACAATTGCGTGTTTTGAAAACTTGAATGACAAATTTATGAATGTTGGTTTTGTGCATAATGCTCTATTTCATGGATGCTGCTCTTGATTTGTATGTAAATTTAGCTTGTGTTGGTTTTGGTTGCCATTTCATGCCAATTCAGTAAGAATTGGTAGGATGCAATTTATCAGTGATGCCAATTGTGTGTTTTGAAGATTTCAATGAGTAATTATGAATGTAACACACAATGCCAGTGATAGGTTTTTTATTCATTGGTTGACATTTGATGGATGGATGCCATTTCAAGGGGCCATTCGAAGAGGCCACCAATTATATTTTTGTATTTTATTTTTTGACTTAACGGTGACACTGTTTTGTTTTTATTATTATTATTACATGATAATGCTCTGTTTTTGTAAGGGTGAATACAAATTGTTTTTTAAGAGACAAACAAATGATGTGATGCTCTGTTTTTTTTCAAAGAACAATCTTAACACAAAATATGAAATTTTCATTCAAAATACTTCCCTCATTACATTTCATTCATAATATTTTCCCCCATTACATTCATTCATTCATAATAGTCTCCCCCCTCCCCCTCCCCCCAAAAAAAAATTACATTCTTTCTTACACTACATTACAAACCACATTGATAAAATGATGCACTATGAGGTAGCCAAGCATATCCATAGCTTTCTCTCTCTTCGATTCCTTATCTGTTATCTTGCTTCTAACTTATTGACCTTCTTCAACTGCCTATGGATGATTTGCACTGCCCGTGAGCACATAGGTGGGTCTACCCAGGTAAACTAATTACAACCATTACTAGGATAACTGAGGAACCTCCTACCAGGATTTGCATCAGTCCATGATGTTTGTACCACCCTTCGTCTTCCATAGCAAATGCATCTCACGCCTTCCATGTCACTTGAGCTCCATCTTCCTTCAGTTGAGCTCTATCTTCCCTGATTCCTTAACCCTCTATTCCTCATTCTCTCTCACCTACCGAAATTATGATCTCTTTTCTTTTTTTTCTTTTCTTTTTTTTTGAAACGATCCCCCCTCCCCCTCCCCCCAAAAAAAAATTACATTCTTTCTTACACTACATTACAAACCACATTGATAAAATGATGCACTATGAGGTAGCCAAGCATATCCATAGCTTTCTCTCTCTTCGATTCCTTATCTGTTATCTTGCTTCTAACTTATTGACCTTCTTCAACTGCCTATGGATGATTTGCACTGCCCGTGAGCACATAGGTGGGTCTACCCAGGTAAACTAATTACAACCATTACTAGGATAACTGAGGAACCTCCTACCAGGATTTGCATCAGTCCATGATGTTTGTACCACCCTTCGTCTTCCACAGCAAATGCATCTCACGCCTTCCATGTCACTTGAGCTCCATCTTCCTTCAGTTGAGCTCCATCTTCCCTGATTTCTTAACCCTCTATTCCTCATTCTCTCTCACCTACCGAAATTATGATCTCTTTTCTTTTTTTTCTTTTCTTTTTTTTTGAAACTTGCATGTGTTAAATAGCAAAAGGAAGAGGTTGCATATGGCAGGAAAGACTCTTATATTCCCTCCAACAGATAGTTTAAGGGGACAGCTCATCACATTTCGTCCAATTGTAGACAGAATGTGACGGCATGGGTTAAATTGATCAATTTTTTGAAAGTTCAGGTGTTAAATTGAAATTAATGAAAGTATGGGGATCAAATTAAAAAACGCGTGATAGCTTAAGGGGCAAAATGATATTTTCTCTATTTATTTATAAGCTTGATAAAATGTATATCGGGACAACTACGACCTACCAACACTTGAATGATTGATAAGGAATCCCTTCTTTGATTCTCTTCACTAAGCTAAAAACCTATTACAACAAAATCCATGGTTTCATTTGAAATGAGCGATGAGGAAATCCTCTCTTCCTATCCTATTTATCTACAAATTGGGATCCTAAAGGTGTCCTTGCCTAAAAACCTTTGATTTTTTTAATGGGTCAAGTGTATTGATCCATTTCAGGCTGGACTGACCTTAGTTCAGCCCCAACTGGACTCAATACTTTGAGGTAGTAGGGGGGATGACAACAAAGCAGGTATAGATTGAATTACCCTTACCCCACTACTCCCAAACCCATGTGGTTTGTTAACAAATTTCCCAAACCCATGCCCTTTTCAACTTAATTACCAAACCAATGCAAATTTGTGAAATTGGATTTTAGAACACACGACTTCAAGCAAAGATCTCCTCCAGCCCTTTTCACTTCGTGTTCTTACGCCGCGACTCTTCAGAAATATTGTTGAACTCGTGTTTCAAGTTCCACGACTTCACCTTAAAGTTGGATATTTGATCCACAACTTTGGCTTTTTTCCTTCTTGAAATTATTTTTGCTTAAACTCGTGACACTAAAACACGACTTCAAAAACAACATAAATTTGGTAAATGTGTTCAAAACAACTTGGGTTTGATAAATTAGATCAAAACAAACGTGAATTTGATAAATAATAATAAATAAATAACTCATATTTGCAACTATCGGAACTTACCCACATTATCTAATTTTTTCACTTGGATTTTAATAATGCAATTTTATAATATATGATGATGAATATTTGAGACAATATTGTTTTAATCGACATTGATTTGAGTGGAATAGCAATGTAAAATGAGACGGAAAGAAGAGGTACAATATCCAAAATATAAAAATAAAAGACGTAGAAAAAACGAAGAAAACAAAAACTAAAAATCATTTTATATCAATAAATAATAATATATTTTAGAAAATAAAACCTCTTTTAAATAATACACAATCAATTTGGATTACTATCCCTGCACACCGACCCAAACCTCATCTGAAATTTTATTTTCACCTCCGAATTTGATCCTAACACATGAAAAACCCCAAAAATTTATTTTAATCTTCCTTTCTTTTTTTTGGCCATCCTTAGCTACTGTTTTAATTCCCACCCAGCAAAATGGCAAACACAGCAAATGGCAAAAGCCACCACAATAGATGCACCCGCACCGCACCTAGGGTTCGAATCACCTGCTGTTCGTCCACTTCACTGGCTTAGAGAGCGGCTTTTAAGCATCAAATTTATCCTTCTGTGGTGGACACCAAAAGGGGGCTCAGATGACTTCTCTCCATAATAAAAATTTAAAAAAACGAGATAAAGGAGTCATCTAAACCCATCAAAGATAACAGACAGACAATATCAAATATTAGGGTTCAAATTCTAAGTCATAGGGTTAATACAAGCATGTTTCTCTAGTTCAAACCAATGATAAAATAAAACAAAAAAAAATCCATTACAATCAAGAACAAACATTGAAATATAGCAAAACTACAAACTAAACAGAAGGCTAGGGCACCAAATGTCCATACTTCATAAGAGCTTTTCCTTCACAATGGTCGCACCAGTTTTAGTAGGAAAATTCGCAGAAAGCAGCAAGAGACAAAATGCTTCCCTACTACTGAGGGCAAAAACAGTCAATTTCCGTTCAAGAACGAGATCTTTCTCGGGCCACCGGTGAACGACTGCATCATCAGTAAAGACGAGACATCAAAAAACAATTAATCCAAAAATTCAACTCATAAATTTCGATCCAACCACTAAATCTTAACATAAGAGAACAATACATACCTCTGGTATCTCTCTCTCTCCTGTGAGGGGCTCTCTTCTCCACCACCGTACTTTGGACTATCCCTCGCTTCAGGCTTAGAATCTGGGCTTGGGCCCTGACGATAGTCATCAGGACTGATCCTCTCTCCTGCTTCAGGGCTTGCGCTGCGGCCACGATCATAATCAGGCGGACTAACAACTCTCCCCCTTGGGCTGGGTTCGCGTTCGCGTTCACGCCCATGATCAGGACTAGGCCTCTCTCTTCGAGGACTTCGGCTCCGACTACGGCCATGGCCGTAATCAGAATTAGCCCTGTCCCTTCGATAGGGACTCGGGCTTGGACCACGGCCGTAATCAGGACTACCCCTCTCTCTTCGATAAGGACTAGGGCTACGGCCACGACCATAATCAGGACTAGCCCTCTCTCTCCGATAGGGGCTCGGAGATCGTCCCCCCCTCTCGTGGCCTCCTCTCCTTCCGGGTGACCTATCGCGACTTCTATCAGGGCTGTGGCCATTTCGCCTGTCATCATCATCTTTGATTGCATATTCCACCGAAATAACCCGATCCATCAGCTTGCTGCATATCGGAATAAATACAGAATTAAATATACGATAGATTATGGGAAATAAACAGATGAAACACCATGGAACAGCAAACATATCAAGCAAAAGCAATTCCTTCTCAGAGATTAATCAAACCTTAGGTTATGGGAAATTAAACAGATGCAACACCATGAAACAGCACACATATCAAGCAAAAGCAATTCCTTCACAGAGATTAATTAAACCTTAGCTTATGTTTGAATGGCACAAATCAAAGATCAAGAAAGCGTATCTCATTGCTACAAATCTCATTCCCATTATTTTGATAGTAGGGTTATCTCATTGAAGTGTTTGGATAATTCAAGATTCTTATGTAGGAAAGAATAAAAAAGGAAAAATTACACAAAAAAACCCTAGAGTGCGACCCTTTTAACAAATTAAACCTTGAATTTTAAATGTCAATTTAAACCCCAAACTTTTGATTTATTTTCAATTTAAACCATTTGCCTATTTTCATTAAATAAAATCAACGGAAAAATCATATTTTAGTCATTATCCTCAATAAAAATGGTATTTTAAACATTTTGTGTATACTTGCATCGAGTTTAATAACTAAAATATTCTTTCTACATTGATTTTACTACAAAAATAGGCGAATGGTTTAAATTGAAAGCTTATCAAAAGATTGGAATTTAAATTAACAAAATTAAAAACTTTTATTTTGTTACAAGCCTCAAACACCCTAGGGTTTTTTTTAGTAATTATCCCCCCCCCCAAAAAAAAAAAAAAAAAAAAAAAAAATTATCTCATTTAAGCGTTTAGTTTGACCCTTTCAGACATAGAAATGTGAGATTACTGGAGGAAGTGGATACATTCCCCCTTAGTCCAGGAAACGGATTCCACCTAGAATGGTAAATCACAAATCACATTCACATTCAAACCGTATTCAACAATGGAATCATGGAACTCGCAATCACATTCCTATTCCCCCTCAATATTACTGCCATCAAACTTATCCTCAAAGAAAAAAGATTACAATTATAAGAAAGTTAATATATAGTCATTGCAAGAAAGCCTAGATGTCAATGGAGATCAAATCACCTCAAGTTTGTAGCATCCAACGCCCGGGTGGCATCCTCTTGCGATTCAAATTGAATGAATGCAAAATTCCTTCTGATCCTCACATTCAATATCTTCCCATATGGATCGAAGTGCCTCTCCAAGTCCCTTGTCCTAGTATGATATGGATCAAAATTAATGACAAACAAAGTCTTTGAGGGTCTTGAATTTGATGAAGATCTTTTAGAACTCCCAGGTCTCCTAATGCCACGTTCTTGCTGAAACACAACAATAAAACAATTCATGTAAGATGTGTAATTAAAATAAAAATAAAATTAATATTGCAAAACAAATCAATCATCAACAGTATGATTAGCAGAGATGTAATACCTTTGTCCACTCAACACAAAGACGGCGGCCCTTTCTACCAAATTCTATTCGGTCAAGTCCTCGAATTGCATCCTCTGCATCTCTCTCATCCTCCATATAAACGAAAGCAAATCCTATAGACCCAATATTTAAAAAATCTAAATGAGAAAAGAATTTATGTTCATATTTGGAGGAAATATAAAGTTAGGAATCCCCCTTCCAAGGATCTTTCATATGAGATGGCATTTTCATCTTCGATAAAAATGCAAATTTGCCTAGAATTCTACCGAAAATAAAATTGACCCTATGAGAAATCTAGAAACTATTGACCAGTAAAATCAGTAACAGACCTTGGGAGATGAACTAAGTGATGTCAAGGAACAAGAATCCAAAGGTGGATGTCTCATGATAGGATAATGAAAAGAGTGCCTTCTCCATCTATTCTGATGCCTCTGCTTCGAGGTCGGCATGGTTTCTACCTGGGAACATGTCTGAAAATGAAGGCTGTGCAAAATTCATGAGGAATGAAATGCAATGGTGTCTGTGGAAAATGTGGGATTGTGATGCCATAGTGAATCAGAATGGCTCTTCTTGGAAACAAGAAGAGGAAGCTCGTCGCAGCCAGGAAATGGAATGCAGAAGAGCCCATCCATCAGCCAGGAATTTTATGAACATGCCAAAGTGATCCTGCGCAAAGAATTAGTTGAGTATGGGGGTTTTACACTTCATAATAAATATTTTTTTCTCCTCAAAACACATCTTCACCCCACTATAACTCAACAAGGGACGGCTGCAGTGCTGATCGCATGGTCTTGATGATATCCCAGTCATAGGCATTGAAAGCAGCCACCTTTAGAAGGGGAACTTGCCCAAGCTGAATGATATTGCTGCTGTAGCATCCATGGCCCCGTCGTTGTCATGGTAAGACGGTATTTGCATTATAATTTTAAATTTTCCACGCAACGCTTTCAAATAGATGCATTTTAAGATAATTTTGTCATGAACGTGACCTCAAAGAAGCAATTAAATGGTTGAGCACATTAACTGCAAAATCATAATGTTGCATGAGGCTTCAAAATGCTTACCCTACCATACCCATGGGCGTATTAATGTACAGTTCATGTCAATATCAGCCACCAATTCATAAATTAACAGCTACACCGCCTTGTTTCTCCTGATGTACTTGATAAGACTACCTTGAACTCTGTACTTTCTTGGTTGGCACAGAAAGATCCTTCTCTTCACCACTACTACAATAGGTTCAAGGATCACTGGCTCTTTGCATTATGCAGACTTATGTCTTTCTCTTACATGCTCATGTGCGTAAGTTCAAAAAAGTTATTTTCCCAATCAAGAATATTATTAAAACACATCAGCTAGTACAGAAAGCCACTTCAAACATCTATGCTAGACCACGTCAAGTCAAATTTGTGACCTAATTCGTAAGAATGAGCTTTAAAGGGACAGATGTTTGGCACTTTCCTCACTTAGAATCCAAGTAAAACAGTTCAATGGTTTCATAGTCAAATGCTTAATTAGCCATACAACAAACAGAAATAAATACAAGTAGATGACTATATATACTAACAATTAACGAGCCAAAAATAAAGTTACAAGTTTAGACAAAAAAGAATGGGCCAAAATTACCAGACTTCATATCCACTCTATCAACCTTCCCATATTTTCTGAAGAGGCGCTCCAGATCGGACTGTCGTGCATCATACTCAAAGTTTCCACAGAAAATGGGCCTCATTTTACCTACAAAACCAGAGATAGCATTTTCTAAAACTTCAAATCACAGATAACACTGAAACGGAAAACATCAAACTAAGGGTGGGTTTGGGGTTAGCTTTTTTAGTTCCTTTTTGGCTTTTTTAGACGCTACAAAAACTAGTGTTTGGGAAGTTGCTAAAAAAACTGCCTTTTTATTGAAAAAATTGATGTGACATTTAGCTGTTTGGCTTGTTTAGGACAAAGTTAGCTGTTTTTAGAAATTCCCCAAACACCAACATGATTTACAAGTTTGAAGAGAGTTCAACTAGGAAAATTGTCAAGGTATTGGTCATTTCTCAATATCATCATGAAGACATTAAAATCAGAGCCATATAGAAATTATTCAAAGAGAATGAGCACCGACACTCATCCCACGTCAATACTGTGGGCTTGTCATACGTCACCACTGGTCTATGACTGCAATGAGCACTTAAACTGCCAACAACCCTCCAATATTTAGCCCATTTTGAAGATGGGGCTTGGCATGTGCCTTAATGCTCTTGTATTGTAAATTAACAGGGGGAAAAAAACAGAATGACCAACAGAACAAGTACAGAATCAGACACAAAACATGTACAGAATCAGACACAAAACATTGATCACTGCTGCGTTTGTTATCTTTTGAAATTGTAAATACAAAAATTAAACACAAAAAGTGACAATGTTATAAATCCAATTTCCAGAAGGCCTTGATCATTTAACAAAAAATAATGAACGAAAAACTAACATAAACTTCAATTGCTGATTCAGATGCAGTTTTCCTCAAAACTTACCTACATAAATTTAGCCCCTTTTGAAGATGGGGCTTGGAATGTACCTTAATGCTCTAGACTCAACTGTATCGTTTTTCCTCTCCTCCTTTGCATTGTAAATTAGCGGGAAAAAAATAAGAATGGGCAACATAACAATTACACAATCACAGACACAAATTGTTGCTCACTGCTGTGTTTGGAACATTTTGTAATTGTAAGAACAAAAATTAAACAAAAAAGTGGCATGTTACAATCCAATTTCTAAAAGGCCTTAATCATTTAACCAAATACAATGAGTGGAAAATTCATCTAAAAATTAAATAAACTTCAATTGCAAGTTCTTCAGAAGCAGAAATCCTCAAAACTTAACTGCAGGGACATGGACAAGAACAGAATCACAGACGTAAATCGTTGCTCACTGCTGTGTTTCAAGTCTTTTGAAGTTCTAAAAACCAAAATTAAACAAAAAACTGACATTTTACAAACCCATTTTCTAAACAGCCTTAATCATTTAGCGAAAAATAATGAAATGAAAACCCAAAAAATAACAAGAAGTTCAATTGCATCTCTTTGAACCGTTTTCCTTTGCTGAGCTTCTAATTTTTGGTTCCCAAAATGAATCAAACATTCAAGAAATCATCAAATTACATCATCGTAACCACAAAATTATAATATAAACCCTAAATATTTCATAAAAATTAAAATCTCAAAACTTCCAAAACTCACAAATATTAATAATTGAAAAACAAGCGCGTGCATGTAAGCAAGCTACGAAACAATGCTCCTCGATACCAATCAAACCTAAAGATCTACCGCTAGCAGAAAGAAAGCGACGAATCGGGACACAATGGTCCGTTTGGCTGCCGAGAAAATGACAGAAAATAAACTTCAACCATATCTAAGATCCCAAAATTTTTCATAATTTTTGCCTTGTTTTCTCAGCAACCAAGCAGATCTAAGAATTTATCACAAAAATTTGTCAAATTTCGAGATCAGATTAAAAAAAAAGGAAGCGTTCGAGCTGCGTTCTTACCTTGGAAATGTTGAGAAACCCTAATTGCGATAGAGAGCTGAAAAATAAAAAGGATCAGATCAAATATCTTTCAAACTCGGCCGCAATAAAAAAATAATGAAAGTAGCCCTGGTGGATCAATTATATAGTAGACGTAGGCTTGTAAATTGGGCCGACGCTTTGGGCTAGGCCCGGCCCATAATCTCTGAGGTACGATCTGGGCCGAGAGCTCTATAAACCCCTTCTGTTCTATTCTGTGCCTTTTTCTTGGAAGAGTTATCTGATTGGTCCGACTTATCATGTGACTCTGTGCTATCTTATGGGGGGATACATAATTATTTTGTCTAAATTATTGGGGGGAAAAATAAAAAAATAAAAAGAGTAAGAGTAACTAGTTACATGACTCAATATATTTGAATGGACAAATCACATAGGATAGAGGTGGACCTAAGGATGTGCGCGGTATGGTTTGATGTGATTTGAGAATAAAATTAAAAATTAAATTGTGAATAATTATGGTTTGGATAGTTTTAATTTGTTAGTTGATTGAATAATAATCTTAAATAATTATCAAGCATTTGCATAATATATAACTCTAATTTTTATAATATTATTGTTGGCTTATTTTTCCTATGAAGGAAAATACCATAAATGCAAGGATTGAAAAATCCTTACAGATTAAATTCAAGTCAATTATCAAGCGATTGCATTGACGGTTCTTTTGCCTCAATAAAGAGGATTTCAAAATTGCCGAGTGTAAAGAAAAGAAAAATTAAAAGAAGAATGAGCGAGACGAAGAAAGATAATTAAGTGAACAATCAAAGTAATAATTATTTACCTCTACTCCTATGCTTTGAAAAGAAAGTGCATAACATGCTTCGAAAATGAAGTGCTAAAAATAAATGCTTCGAAATATAAATATATGTTAAACTACTCCTAAAATAAGGAAAATGACAATAAATATTGAAATCAATTGTCTTTAATTTGAGTTCTAGATCCTTTACAATGTTGTCATGAATGGCTATTTATAGGCAAACATTTGTAAGAAAAAAACTACATAAAACTACCCACTCTTTCATCTCCTCCATTTCATGCTCTATGATCTTCCATAACTTCCTTCAACTTCCACTTCATGCTCCATGTTCTTCACTTTGTCCTCCATCATCTTTCCATATTTCATAACTTCTCATAACCTCCAAATGAGTAGGAAAATGTCACATGTCCTGCAATTATATAAATAATAAATAATAATAAAATGCAGATTTATGGTGCCAACAATTATATATATATATAACACTAACTAATTTTACATATATATAACACTAATTTACAACAAATTCTACATCTTAAATCTCTTTCACACTAATTTTTATTTTGATATTTCATTAAAGATTAAAAAAAAAATATATGTATTGATTATAACGGAACAGAACGATTTCGAAAACGGATTCTAAATTTCAAACCGCGATTCAAACTAACCAATGATTAATGGGTGAATTGGGCAAATCAATTTAAATTAGACAATGTTTTGCGCAGCCCTAAATAGACCTATATCATAATTTGTGTTATTGTTGGGTTTTTCATATTGAAATAACCAACCCAAACTCCAAAAGTAAAAGTTGAATATGATAATGATACTACATAATTATTAAACACGTGATAATATCAATTAATATTAAAACAACACATGAATGGGGTTAATTCTAGTATTCAAGTGTAACTAACAATTTAGTAGATTCTAAGGAAATTGTACTTCAATGCTAGTTTTCAAAAAAAATTATAAAATTGGTCGAAAAATTTATCAATTTTAATAATTAAAGTTATAAGTTTGTTCATAAATTTGTAAATATTTTGTACAAATATCACTTATTTGTAATTTTTCCTAACTTCTACATATATGCAGTTAGGTTAACTATGTTTACATAACAAAATTTATTATTGAACAATGATATCATATGTTAATGATATTTTTCTTGACTCCGCGGCTTAGAATCTTATTAGATTGTTAAGAATGGTAATTGTTTTACCCCCACCACGCCATTCTAATTTTCCCTATCTTGATAAAGAAGTGGAGTGGTGATGAATATTCTCCCATCATATGTTAATGATATTTTTCTTGACTCCGCGGCTTAGAATCTTATTAGATTGGTAAGAATGGTAATTGTTTTACCCCCACCACGCCATTCTAATTTTCCCTATCTTGATAAAGAAGTGGAGTGGTTTATTGAACAATTATATCATATGTTAATGATATTTTTCTTGACTCCGCGGCTTAGAATGTTAGGTTAACTATGTCTGCATAACAAAATTTATTATTGAACAATGATATCATATGTTAATGATATTTTTCTTGACTCCGCGGCTTAGAATCTTATTAGATTGGTAAGAATGGTAATTGTTTTACCCCCACCACGCCATTCTAATTTTCCCTATCTTGATAAAGAAGTGGAGTGGTTTATTGAACAATTATATCATATGTTAATGATATTTTTCTTGACTCCGCGGCTTAGAATCTTATTAGATTGGTAAGAATGGTAATTGTTTTACCCCCACCACGCCATTCTAATTTTCCCTATCTTGATAAAGAAGTGGAGTGGTGATGAATATTCTCCCATATTGTTGGACTTCACATTAGTCTCAATTATATTTATTAAATTTATTTATAGGTATAATATAGATATATAAACCCACTATTGAAATATTTTAAATTAAAACATGGCTGTCATACAGTTTTCAGTAATACCGTATACTAATTTATGAAAATTGATCAACTGTTGCACTATTGCATTAATATGTATCAATTGATATACTGATTAGTATATCAATATATGCTATGACATTATCACTATAAAATTATAAATTTTACCCATTATATAAATTATAAAATTTAAAACTTCTAAAATTATGACATATTATTTGTTAGTACACTAATTGATATATCAATTAGTGCGTATAGTTTTATTTTTAATATATTGCATGAGAGATATGGCATTTTAAGTTAAGAATTTTGGTACTCATGCAAATACCAATAAATTAAGCAGCAAAGAAGTTGGAATCAAAATTCTAAAAGAGGATGATCACCCACCATTGAAGTGTATAATAATGAATAAAAGAGATGGTCGATGGCCCTAATTTAGATGTATTTAAGACTAAGTAAGGAATTCGTAAAATTCATAAATCGTTCTGATCTAATCCAATTTGATAGGTTTGGTTTGATTTTTTGAATTCATTGTTCGGTTCTGGATTAAAAAAATTGAGAAATCGTGTTTCAAGGATCAATTCCGAATTAGAACCAATCTGGACCGTATGCAACTTAGACTATATTCATACGCTCCTGATACATACTATCATACCTCTTATATTCATATAATACACCTGTGCAATTTGGTGTGAAATTTGCTGCTATAAAGTTACTAGTGCCATGGAATTTTGTTGCTATTGTTGTATTTTTTTATTTTTTTTATTTTAGTTTTGTAATGGTCTAATGGTGGAACCAGTTTAAATTTTTTTGTTTTCTTTTTTTTTTTTTTTTTTTTTTTTTTTTTTTTTTTTTTTTTTGTGAATTTGGTGATTGTTGCTACTATTGTGGAACTAGATATTATATTTGTTTAAATTAATAATGAAATAATATGCATGTTTATGTTTTGAAAAATTATAAAATGAAAATACTATATGATTTTTCTCTATTAATAGATTATATGAATATGTAGTTTCAAACCGAACCAAAAACGGTTTGGTTCGGTTTTGTTCCGCGATTTAAATGGATTAGATTGCTTCCAATTTTTATGGAATTATAAACAACAAATTGGTCTTGATTTTGTTCCAACCAGAACCAATTTAGACCATATCTACCTCTAAATGTACTTTCTTATTATGGTATATGCAAATGATTAGTGCACATTATTAAAAAGTTGAGAGGAGAGGCTATACTAATGTAGGTTTACTTTTTTTGTTATTTTAATCTGGGATTAAAAGTCTCGTTTGGAATGAATTTTTTGACTTTTTTAACTTTTATAAGAGAAAAAATGAAATAATTATGATTTAAATGTGATATTTTATCTTATTTATTTTTTAGTCTATTTTATATTGTTATGACTATTTTAATCCCGTAACCTCTTTCCAAATACAGCCGTGCTACCGACCCCACCCCAGTGGCCAATGGCTAGAATCCAAAAAAACAAAAAAATTCAGCCAATCAGGGGTGACCCCCACTGGGGGGTCTTAGGCATTTTTCTTCCAAATGAGTGCAATATATAATTGGCAAGGTAAATTCTGTAATGCACATTTTTAAAGTTATGATTCAATGTGTGATCAAGACTACGACATGGGTTATAATAATATCGTATAGTTGTCTCCTATCTTGACGTGGTCAGGCTTACGATAGTCCCAATGTGTTATAATTTGATCACAATCTTGATTTTGAACACATTAAGGGGTGGTTTGGCATAACCTATTTTAGTCCATCTTTTTATTTTTTTTGGATCACATCAATCAATATCTTCTTTCTACCTTTTTACACATCTTTTTATAAAAAATTTAAAAATAAACTTATTTAGGACATCCTAAATCACCCTTAACTATGCCATAATTTTTTAACAACACTGCTACAGACCCCCACTGGGGGTCGACCCCCAGTGACGTGGCGCAACGCCATTCGCCAGTCACGTGGGCTGGGGTCACTGGGGTCGCCCCGTACTGGGGGTCTCCGCATTTTCCATTTTTTAATAAGGGCTAGTTTGGCATGTACTAAATAAGTCAAAAAGTCAAAAAGTCACTATCTTATTTAAGTCACATCATCTTATTTAAATCACATCACCTCTCTAACACATCACATCAAACCCAACCCAAACTCAACCCAAACCCACCAATAAGTCAAAAAGTGTACTTTTTTAGGACATTCCAAACTAACCCTAAGTTGCAACTTCTCAATAAAATGCGTCATCTTAAAAGTGTATGAAAAGATATTAAGGTGTATGAAAGCAGTATATTGATTCTAATTAGTTTAATATTATTTTTATCTTAATGACAATTCAGTAGGTTGCTTGCAACTTCTCAATA